TAAGACCTGTGTTTTCTAACATCATTATTTCTGTGGTGATATATTTAATCAGTTGTATCTTGACTTTTGAGGGTTAGCGTTAACATATTATGTTGTATTGATATAGCTTAATCATCTGTCTTGAAGCTTACATGCTATTGTTTTTACATTTTCTTTCTTGACTTCTACAATTTGTTTATACATTTGTAATCAATGCTAACATAGTTAGCCACATTCAGCTAATGTTTGCCAAAGGGTTGGCTAGCTTTTGTTGTAGACAATGATATCAATCAAATTATTAATATTTAACTAATCAGTGCATCACGACATAGCAGCAGCTTTGTGCCACGATGCTTTGGACTTGAGACTTGGACTGGAGAATTTCAGGTAGTGGCTCAAAGTCATCCCATGTCGCAGGTCCTAATGGGCTGCTGGTTCAATCCTGTAGACCAGTAAGGGTTTTGAGGAAAGGAACTTCAATTCTTCCCTACTTAACTTCATTAGCATAGGAGCTACTAGACCATCCTTTACAAAAGAAAAGCGATAACTCCCTCACACAATTCCTTGCGATGGCAATATTTAAACAGTAACATATCACTCAACCGTTCATTTATATTGCAGCCTTGTTGATAAATTAATACTTTGAACCTGGTTGTTTTACGTAGTCTGCATGACTCAGCACCAACACGTTCTCTCTTCACTGGCTACCAGTGGCTGCCCGCATCCAATTCAAAACATTGGTGCTCACGTACCGTGCTGTGAATGGATCGGGTCCAGCTTATATCCAGGACATGGTCAAACCCTACATCCCGACCCGCACTCTCTGCTCTGTATCTGATAAACTGCTTGTCCCTCCCTCACTGAGAGCAAAACACTGTTTGCTTCGAAATGGTGGAAGGAGGTCTCTGAAGACATCAGGACCGCAGAGAGCCTTCACATCTTCCGCCGCAAACTAAAGACCCACCTCTTCAGCCCCTACCTTGACTAAAAGACTAACAAATTGTAGCACTTAAATTGTACTTATAATGGCACTTATCTATAGCAAATTGTAAATTGGCCTATTTGATGAAATTGCACTTTCTTGTTTCTTGGATAAAAGCGTCAGCTAAATGACATGTAATGTAATGTCGTTGTGGCGCAGGGGGTAGAGCGGGTGTGCCGGGAACCACAAGGTTGATGGTTTGAGTCCTGGCTTCCCCATGTCTCAAGTCAAAGCGTCCCTGACCAAGACACCTAACCCCTAATTGCTCCCCGGGCAAAAATGTTTCCATCGGTTAATAATGTAAGGGTTAGGGGCCAAATGAAATGAAATGTAATGTAAAGGTATCTAGGATTAACTAAAAAGATTGACCAAAAAGACTAAATTGTAGTTTCAGCGCTACAGACTGACGTCACTAACATGCATCTCCCATCGTATGAGAACTATGTACCTTTCCTCATGAATTCTCCAACCCATCTTTCCTTGAACCCCCTGATGCTTTCCACAGAGGTCTAGGGATAGATGCTAGGAGGTCATTTTTCGGTCAATTAGAATGCAGCCTGCACCTCCTCTCAACCTGCACTCCCTCTCAGATTGCTTCCCCCTGACCAGCTTCTCTGCCTTAGTTTTATTTACCTCTCTGATCAAATATCTGCTCCGGGTGCATCTCTTCATCACCTGATCCAAAGTCTCTCCTGTCGCATGTGTACAGACTGTGAAGCCCTCTGAGGCAAATTTGTATTTTGCGATTTTGGGCAATACAAAATTAAATGAATTGAACTGAATTAGGTACTTCTCAATTGCCTATGCTGCATCCTTAAAGACGTATTTGTCAACCATACGTCACTTTGACTGCTACTTGGTTCCATCGGCTCTTCCGAACGCGGTCAAGGGACGCAGCCCTCCCAAACCTGATTTGGAGGACACATCAGAAATCAGGAAACATTTATTGCCAAAATATGTCACACATACAAGGAATTTGTCTTGGTGGTTGGTGCGTGACAGTAGACAGTGTAACAATAGACAACAAGACAGCAGTGCACAAGTAATAAAATAAAATGAAATGCTAATGCAATGGGTTAGTAGAATAAGGCTATGGGTTAGTATAAAATAAAAGAATAAAGTTAAAGTTAAAAAATTAAAAATATTTAAAAAGTTAAAAAATAAAGTGCACTAGCGAACAAGTGACAAAGTGACGAGTGACGACAAAGTGACGAGTGAAAAATGACAGTTAAAGTGGCATGTGCATTATGAAAGAAAGTGACCGGTAGAATGTCAGAGTCAGTCATCTGGTCTATCCTTTGCGGCCCAGCATATCCCATCATGCAGTGTAGTCCGACAAGGATTTCATTTCAAGGAGGCAAGTGAGCAAACAGCGGGGAAGGAGTTACATTTTAAATCTAGTGCTAAGTAATAGAATTCACTCAAATAGATACCAATATAAATATTATAAAATAATATATAACATCACTTAGCTTATGAAATAGCTTAAGTTATGTGACGAAGGTAACCGATGTGGTGTTTTTAAATACACATGATACTAGAATAAACTGCTACTTGTCATATCTTTAACTCCGTCATGCTTGTATGTTCGTGTATGTATGAATGTGTGTGTGTGTGTGTGTGTGTGTGTGTGTGTGTGTGTGTGTGTGTGTGTGTGTGTGTGTGTGTGTGTGAGAGTTGCTGTATTTAGCTGCCTGAAGCCTAATATTTGTGGGAACCAGCAGAGTCTGATAGACGATCTGACAGAGAGACAGGCAGGTGTTATCTGAAGCATGTAATAACCGGTTTTCATTTAAGAAAATAAAAATAAAAATGATTTTTGGGTTCACTTCAATAACAACATGGAAGCTTTATATTTACTTAGATTTTTTTTATGTGATCCTAAAGTCAAAACATCTTATTTGTAAATATTTTTCAATCTTTTCCATGTTATTAACATTGAAAACAACACCACTAACTTTGTATTAAGCAGCATGATATGTTGTGACAAGTGACCCATACATCGGGTTATCCTTCACAGTATCAGAGCTTTGATCCTCGGCTACTCCGGTCCATGCCGATTGTGCCCTCTGGCAACATACTTAACCCCAAAAGCTTATGGGTGAAAGGCATGTTAGAGAATGTTACAAGTCCAGGCATCAGAGTTTGTTTTCATCAATAATTTGTCTCTCTGTGCTTTTACATTTGAGTAGAGAACACCACCCGATTCATAGTCAGCCGTTACCAGGGGGAGAATCATGTGAGTGAAGTGACTTTCAGTTCTGTGACACATTTCAGATTTTCTCCAGGAAATGAATGGAAGTGTATGTAAAGTATGAAAATGTTCCCTCAGTGAGCATGTGCGTGTGTGTGTGTGTATGCGTGTTTGTTTTCGCGTGTGTGTGTGTGTGTTGGAATGAGCTGGGTCATCGTAGTGACAGCAACTTTACACCAGAGGGTCAAATTAATGTCTTGCAACAGCTGCTGGTGCCATGGCAACGGAAGGGTGGGGTAAACCCTGGCAACGATGAAGACACCAGAGACTGTGTGTGTGTGTGTGTGTGTGTGTGTGTGTGTGTGTGTGTGTGTGTGTGCCTGTTTGTGTGTGTCTATATCTGTGTATGAGCAACTGCGTGTCTGATTAGCTATCAAACTGACTGTAGATTAGTTTAAGTGAGGTAGAAAGAAGTCTGCAGGTCAATAGATGACAATTTAGAAAAAATAATAATGATGATAACCCTATTATAAAAATAAACTTTGAAGTAACGATTTTCTATCAACAAATATATTATATGTAAATGAAAGTGACATGTAATGAAGTGATGTAACAAATCATCTGAGTATACAGAATCTCGATTATTGGCGATTCATTAATTAATTAATGTTGTTAAACTGTTGTCAATGAATGTTTGTTTTTCTTCTAAAGACTTAGAAGTAATGAGTAATCACTTTAGAAAGTGTTTATTTTAGACACTGTTGTTTAATTGTTAATGTTATATGAAACACAGAACTACACACATTGGATAGAGGCAGAATTCCACCTAGTGGAACTAACAACTCTGTCCCTGCAGCGAGCGGCCGTTTTATTTCCGGGGTCAAGTTAGGCTACGTAAAAACATTTTGTCACATTAATCTCCGCCACATTAATCGCATGCATTAACATGTTTATGTTGACAGCCCTGATATATATATGTTTATATATATATTATACCCTATGAAGCTAACATTAATGTGTTGAGGAAAGACCAACTCAAAAGCCCCAAAAAACTTAAATTATTGTGCTTTATGTCCCTTACCCCGTCAATTTAAAAAGCGAGCATCGGAAGCTAATCACCGTGTTAGCAAGACTTCATCTAGCTAACTAAACATTCCGAGTGTAGCAGTCTCTAGAGAGGCTTTGTATGTGCGGCTTCCCTTTCAAGCCAATTCGTTGTATGATTGTGAGGTCAGTCTGATCTGGGTCCAGTTGTTTTACTTCTAGTTTCTCCACCAAAGTTATTCTCTCAGTCTTAGAGTAGAGAATGTACTGAGTTCGGATTGGGTCTTACTGCTCGCCATTGTCATGTTGTTAAAACGACGCGTCACAAGACAAGCCCTTACGAGAGCGCAGTCTTGGGCAAGCCCCACGGCCCAAGGACGTGTAAATTATATGACACTCATTTATCTTTAATCACTTATTGGCTAAATTGAGACATGCAGACAGGCGTAGAGGACGTGCAGAAAAAGCATATATTTTGCATAGATATTAGAAGTATTCCTGGATGTATTCCATGTTTCAAATGCACCAATATTGACTATTTGTAAAATGTAATTTTGATATGATAAAAAAAAAATTGGAGCTCAAGGGGCTCCCACTGTATATGGTCTTTATATGAACTCACCAGATGGCATCGATTTATGTGTACCACAAAAACGTTTTAAATTGAATCTGCACTGTAATTGTTTGTAACCTGAGCAACATGCACAGCAAACTGACAGATTGCATTTCATGATTATTTCACAAACTGGCATGATACTTTGCTGAGTTTGGACAACCCACCCACCACACTTTTCTCTACAGGAGTTAATAACAAGAAGACTGAGGAGTTGCTACAGCGCTACACGATGCCAGGATGGCGCCTCTGCTGCCCCCTGTTGGTTCAGAGGTCTTCAGACGCTTCACTCCATCCTCGTTGGAGGAGCTCCTTAAACATCACAAACTCGTGGAGAAGGAGCAACAGAGCAGGAAGGAGAAGAATATAGAGGTACAACAAATATTGATTAGATATCAGTTCAAATGAATCAATACAGTGAAAACAAGGAATCAATACATTAAAAATAAGATATAATTTGTCTGAGATTAAATCATCTTAAATTCTTCAGTTATATGCGGATTGGCCGAGGATGGCATCACAACAATCTGGCTCCAAAGAACGTTTCTACATTAAATCTCTTGCGTATTCAGTGATCAGTTTGTAACAGTGTGGACTCCATGGCAAGATAGCTTGTTGGACTATCAGCTTGGGCCGGGCATAGTAATGGGTCAATCAAAATTTGAAATGAATATCTCATCTAATCTACAAACACTAATCTCAGGGTCAGGTCGCAGGGGCAACAGCTTCAGCAGGGGACCCCAAACTTTGTTTTCCCAGGCCATAGCTACCAGCTCTGACTGAGGAATCCCAATGCGTTCTTCCCTGGGCCTCTTCCCAGCTGGCCATGCCTGGAACACCTCCATATGGAGGCCCCCAAGGGGCTTCCTACCAGATGCCCATACCACCTCACCTGGCTCCTTTCAATGCAAATGAGCAGCGGCTCTATTCCGAGCTCCTCACGGATGGCTAAATTTCTCACCCTATCTCTAAGGGAGACGCAGCCACCTTCCTGAGGAAACCCATTTTGGCTGCTTGTACCCAAGCTGGTCGGTCGTTTCATGACCAGGACAAAAGTGTTCCTCTTCGATCCGTGGTACGATTCAAATTAATATTATTTAAATAAAAGTGACTACAAAATTCTTTCTCTGGTTGACAGATAGCGGAGGAAGATCTTCCTAAGCCAGCCAGCGACTTAGAGGCCGGAAAGCCTCTCCCATTCATCTACGGAGACCCACCCCCTGGACTTTTGAACACACCATTGGAGGAGCTGGATCCTTTCTACAAATCACACAAGGTCTCTGTCTCTCTTTGTTGAATGGTATTCAATCTGATCAGCAGAGATCAATAAATCATTAAATCTATTATCAGCTTCAGTTTTCAATCATTAGCTCAGTAATATAGTGAATCAGGAGTCTCTTTGCTGGGTCAGTCTCTTTCTGTTTGATTATCTTTGTCATTCTTCCTGACCTTTCTTTCTGTCTGTCTCTCTGACATTTCTGTCCTTCATATCTGACCTACCTGTCTCAATTGGTGTCTCTTACCTATCCTTCTCTACGAACTGTTTGTCTCATCTAACTCTCTGTCCAAATTACCACCTGTCTCTCTGACCTCCCTGTCCATCGGACCTTCCTAACTCTATCTGTCTCTTGAACTTGTCCAGCCCTCTGACCTGTCCGTCTCTTTGCAGACGTTCATCGTCCTCGGTAAAGGAAACATCATCTATCGGTTCAATGCTGAGTCAGCCTGTTACCTGCTCAGTCCATTCAACCCTCTGAGGACTGTCGCCATCCGGATCCTAATCCACTCATATCCTTTACAATGTCTAAATGTGATTTCCCTTTAACCCAATCCTGTTATTTATCATGTCTTACTAAACCAACCCTATAATTTGTATTGTCTCACTAAGACAAACCTTATCCTTTATGATGTCTCACTAACCCAATCCTATCTTTTTGCATGTCTCACGTATCCAACCTTATTGTTCATGACGTCTCACTAAAGCAACGCCATCTTTAATGAGGTCTCATTTACCCAGTTATATTGTTTATGATGTCTCACTAACCTAAACCTTATCCTTCATGATGTCTCACTAACCCAACCTTACCTTTATTGAGATCTTATTAACCCAACCCTATTGTTTATACGGTCTCATTTACCCAGTTATATTGTTTATGATGTCTCACTAACCTAAACCTTATCCTTTATGATGTCCCACCAACCCAACCCTATCATTTATGATGTCTCACTAGCCCAAGAGTTAGCTTTGATTTGCGGGTAGCTATTTAACAATCAGCTGATGATTTCTTTTCTTCCCTAAAAATCAAACATTATTCAGTTTGTTCATAATGGTAACCATTCTGGCCAACTGTGCCTTTCATGACTCTGAGTGACCCTCCAGAATGGATCAAAACTGTGGAGTGAGTCAACACACACAAGAATACACATTAATACACACACAGCAGCCAATGTGTTGTTTCTCCATATTTCTGAAAACTGAAGCTTAAGTCGCTCTCTAACAGCCGATACCAACAACAGAGGCCAAGCCAACCGCGTAAGACAGTAACTACTGGTAATCTTACTGACATTGTTCTAAAATGATCAATCTAAACAAAATGATTATGTGATCATTCTGATCACTGCAATCAATATGATCAATCCGATCAATCGATCATATGAGCAATATGATCTGATCATGTCAATTGATCATGGCCATTACTATCATCAATTTCATTATAGCGACCAATATAATCCTTGTAATAAATCTGATAACATGATCATTATGATCAATCTGATTGCAATAATAATTGTCATCAATCTGATCATTGTGATAAGATCACAACACCCTTCTCAGTTATACAGAAGGCTCATCTTAATAAAAAAAGTACAAACAGACAAAAGTTTATTAAACTAATAGTTAAACCTGTAGGTGATTACCTGTTAATAAATAAGAAGCCTTGAATGAAGTATTTTTTGTTCTCTGTTGAGTAATTGTTACACTAGCAAGGACGACGCCAACAACATGATGGGTTCAACCATTTTAATAGCAAGACGTGAGCGATATGATTGTAAGTTGATCCATCTAGTGGTCGAAAGGGTTGTGGGGAGCTACATCGGAGGATCTGCCGTGCGCTACCGTACGACAAACCTCTTCATGACCCTACGAAAAAAGGTAGAAAGAGATGGGGGGGACAGCACGGAAGACCCCCAAAAACTCCCATATGTGAGGTGTGATGAGCGGCTTGAAGAACTTTGAGATCCAAGCGGATGTAGCGGTGGGATGCTTTTGAGGACCGGCGGCTCATGATATGGATGAGGCGTTCTGGGTTTCTATTACAGGAGACACTAGTGCGGCGCTGATTCTCGAGGAGCGTCTGGAGTGCAAGGCTGGAGAAATGCGGGACGAGGAAGAAATGTTGCGAAAGTCCTGGTAGAACAAGAATCTGATAGTTCCTTGGCTTGATGGGCTTTGTTATTTTCAAAACTGCACGTATGTCGAATTAGTCTCAAATGGACTCTGGGGTGACTGTGTTAGAGTAAAGACTGGTGTGGGTCAGCCTGATTTTTGTTTGCTGAAATTGGATAGGCAGGTACGGCGGCGTGTGTTCAAGGTAAGGGTTGAACCGACAAACATTTGATGACTGTCTTGGAATGACCAAAAGTAACAAAACCTGTCACGTAGACCTGATCAAACGACGGGAACGTTATTGTATGGTTGTGGAAGTTCTTTGAAGCTGTCCAGTAAGACGAGAGGTATTAGACGAGAGTTTAACATCAGTGCCGAACATGGAGGAACCTGCCTCAGAAGGGCCACGCTTCTGAACCTGGCATGATGGATAACACGTGCAGCGTTGCTGTCGATACCTTAACCACTAGTTTCCTGATTCCTGATAGGAGGTTGCCGGAGTGAATTAGGATAAGCTTGCAAGACTGCTCGTGGCTCCACAGGATGGCCGTGGCTATGATGGCATAGATTTCGAAGAGTGCAAGGGAAGTTGCTGGGCAATCTCCCGCGAGCTCGAGAGGCCATCTTTGTTGTGAACCATCTTCCGTTGTAACAGCCCCCAAATACCAACAGAAGGAGCTGCGTCCGTGTAAAAATGTAAATGGCGTGCATGTGTTAACGTGTCATTGGAGAGAATAAATAATCCTGTTCCAATTGAAGAGAAGGTTCGGCCAGTTTGCATCGGCCCCAACTGTCGGGGGGGAGGATGAAATCCAGGAGAGATAGGATGGATGCGGCTAATGCTAGGAGGTGGAAGATCTCCCTTGCGGAATGATGCATAGGGCAAAGTTTGGGTGGCCCAGAGGATAAGAAGTTGGCGTTGGCGAAGTTGGGTACAACGTGTGGCAAGGAGGAAGCCGACTGCTAAACTCCATGACGTAAACCACGGTAGGAAGTCATTTAAGGGGTGTGGTTTGCAGAGGGATGTACGAGCGGTCTCGGCCATTCCCTAAGCTGGACGTGTTTAGGACGTAGACGTGTTGATGCGTGGACAGACTACCGGGGAGGTATAAATGCATGGACGAGCGACATAAGACATATCAATGCATGGAGGGACGACTTGGGACATATTGATGCATGGATGGATGAACAACGTATTTTAATGAACGTATTTTGCGGGGCTTGCTAAAAAAAGACACGCAAGAGAGACGCGGTGTGCACGGAGGGGAGGGGCTGTGTGTGTGTGTATGTGAGACGCGTGAGTGACATAGACGGAGAGAGAGCAGGGAAAGGAAATGCAGCTGAACGAATGAGCTGCGTGATTTAAATAGCGTTAAAAAAAAAAAAAACACAAATTAGTCTATGTGTGGGAAACACTGCCTTAGCTTTACAAGCACCATGGCCGGCCAAGAAGAGAGACCTCAACAATGTGGTTTGAACTTGTTTACACAGAAGTAATTTTATTGCTATTTTGAGTAAAATCGTAAATAATAATTAACTGATTCATTAAGATTAAAATTGAGTTAGTATGTCCTTGTAGAAAAACTTATTTCATACAATTTCTATATCATAATGCAATAAATTCAAAACAAAGGTACAACCCATTTCTCGTTCCTATATGATCAAAGGTAGGCTCGACAGAAAAGGTTTGGGAACCACTGCATTAGTCGTTATATCCCCAAGTCCACACAAATGTTTGCCCTATCTTCTTCTCTAGTTTCAGCTCCAGTTTATTGTTTAATGTTTTCATTTTTAAGGTATGTTTATGTTTTAATATGCAAGATATGTTTATTTTAGTTTTTTAAATTTTCAAATTGAAACATACGTTGTTTAAATATTCATTCAACGTTAACGTTTCAATGTCTGAGGTACGTTTCTGTCGTTGCACAGGTACGTGTTCACTTTCATCTACACGTTTGAAGCAACGATCAAAGTTCTGTCCAGAGGATTCTGTGTCGGTGGTTTTACATTTCTGAAGGACCCATGGAACTGGTTGGACTTCATGGTCATCAGCATGGCGTAATACTCCCAACACACCTGAAAACACATATTTATTACACATTAATACACATAGTTATTATTATTATTGTTAATTAATGAATTAATGTTGATCTTATCATTATGTTTTCTAGTGTTTCTGAAAGCTGATTAAATCTTCATTAAAGCCTCCTGATAAGTGAATAATTTAGAATAATTTGTCCTGAATAGGGTTGAGCACTCTTATTTTTATGCCGATCATATTCTCAGGAACTGGAACTGTGAAAACATGAAACATGTGAACATTGTGAGAACATAAAACAATGGGGTTGGTGTGTGTTTAGAATCCATAACGCCCTCTGGTGGGAGGGAGGACTTAGTTTGGACTTATTTGCTCAACTAAAGTGTGTAGTACTTTCTATTTTTGTGAAGCCCTTGATACAGATTTACTTTCCTACAGTTAACAGATGACTCTTTTAATGTCAAACACTTAATCAACCTTTAATTACAAAGTCATCTGCTTGGTTTTTTGATTTCACTCCACGATGATGATGTCATCTCTGTTTTTCAGATACCTGACAGAGTTTGTAGATTTGGGAAACGTTTCTGTGTTGAGAACGTTCAGAGTCCTTCGAGCTTTGAAGACGATCACAGTCATTCCTGGTCAGTGTGTGTGTGTCTGTGTGTGTGTGTTCTCGAATCTGATCAGTTGCTCAGTTTTTATTGCCGCCATCCCCTCCAGGCCTGAAGACGATAGTCGGAGCTCTCATCCAATCAGTGAAGAAGTTGGCTGACGTCATGATTCTGACCGTCTTCTGCCTCAGCGTCTTCGCTCTGATTGGTCTGCAGCTTTTCATGGGAAACCTGCGGCAAAAATGTGTCCTGATCTCACCATTGTTGCTTAGTAACAACATCTCTGACTCTATCATTGGTACTGGGTACCATGGCGACAACAACACCAAAAGTAACCATACAGGAAGGGGTGACTTTGATTACTCCGAGCACATCAATAACCCAGGTATAATGATAATGTCCCGCACAACCCAGGTCAAATACTGAACCATAACCTATCTTTGGTACAACTATTACTACAATACCTCATTGAGTACCCAGGTATGACGATAGTGGTTCTGATTGTTTAGTAAGACACACTGAACCTTATTAACAACCTATGTACTGTACAAATCAGTCTGATCTCCAAAACCTGTTCGTAAAAATGTATACGAAAATCTTGAACATACAAATTCGTAGTGATACATACTAAATAAATACGGACTGCAACTGATGACGTCACCCTATTCAAAGTGAATGGGGACCTGCACCCCGTAAACACACTTCATGAATTCTAATGTAATGTGATGTAAAATAAACATGTTATGCTTGCATTTTTAACGAGAAATCAATGTTAAATTGTAAGAATACAATACTAACCCTAACCCCCTCAAAAAATCCAACATGGCGGAGAGACGTTCACTCAAGAATCCAACATGGTCCGCCATGTTGTTCACTCAAGGGGCGTGGTTAACCACCGCCAGTTCGTATGTATTGTTACGAATTTGTATGTTCATGATTTTCGTATACATTTGTACGAACAGGTTTTGGAGATCACGTTGGTACAAATACTATCACTAATATAAGTCACCATTTACCTCCCCGAGGTACCAATACAATTACCAATACTTAACCTAACATTGGTCCAATACACAAACACAGCAAATTATTATATTCCACTTTGAATAATCAGACTCAGGTTTTCCTATTTAATCAAGAACATTTTAAATTAGATGCTCAACCTAAATTTACCATGCTTAGCACTTTATCATTTTCATTTGTCTACTTGTCTCTCTCTGCCTGCCTGTCTGTCTCATAGAGAACTACTACTACCAGCCAGGTCAACTTGATGCTCTGCTGTGTGGTAACAGCTCTGATGCCGGGTAAGTTCACAACAAAAATGGTAAAGATCATGATGATACTGACTGTGGTATTGATGATGATGATGATGATGAGGAAGATGATGTGTACAGGGTCTGTCCTGAGGGTTACGTCTGTCTAAAAGCTGGGAGAAACCCAAACTACGACTACACCAGCTACGACTCGTTTGGTTGGGCCTTCCTGTCTCTGTTCAGACTGATGACCCAGGACTTCTGGGAGAACCTGTTCCAGCTGGTCAGTAACTGACTGGTCCTTGTAATCGACTGGTTTCTCTACCGACTGGTCCCAGTAACTGACTGGTCCCTGTAGCCGATTGGAATGAATCGGCTCTCTAACTTAGTGTAGATAGTTTAAAGATTGACAGGACAAACAACCAGACAACCACAGCCGAGGGGAGGTTTCTGGTTCTCCCTTCCCTTTTACCTGTCTGTCTCTCAGCTGTCTTTTTAACACCTGTCTGTCTGAATGCAGACCCTGCGAGCGGCCGGTAAGACCTACATGATGTTCTTTGTGGTGGTCATCTTCCTCGGCTCCTTCTACCTCATTAACCTCATCCTGGCGGTGGTTGCAATGGCGTACGCTGAGCAGAACGAGGCCACCATGGCCGAGGCCAAGGAAAAGGAGGAGGAGTACGCTCAGATCCTGGAGATGCTGAAGAATAGAGAGGAGGAGGTCATATATGATATTTAACATTTAATCTGCTCACAGTAAAAATAGACAGCTCAGTATTAATTCTCCTTGTTGGCACAGCAGACGGCCCGCAGGGCACAACTCTCAGAGGAACAACATACAGCACCACAGAAGACGACTTCTTCTGCAGAAATAAAGGGCCATGAGCAAGAACACACTACCATGGAAGGTATTAGCTGTGTCTCACTTCGCAGGCGGTATCCTCCTGATGTCCGTTCCACGTAGGCCGGGTCCTTCAACGGCCGCATAGGCTGAACCAAGCATTCTGTAATGGGATGATCTGGCCTACGGGGGGATTTCCTGTTTACATCATCACCTTTTCCTCCGCCACCTCAGTTGCCTAGCAACTTGCAGCTCTTGACAGTGAAAACCTTGTAACTCAAAAAACAAATAAAAACCAGATAGAGAAGGTAATCTTGTTCTTCTTGAGAGAAGAACATTTTCTATCCAACTAAGAATTAACTACTGATCAACAGCATCTAAAGAACTTTCTCTTAGAATCTTCTCTCTAGGAACTGCTCTATGAATTTTCTCTCTAACCTGCTGCGTGTTTCAGACTTTGCAGACGACCAGAGGCCGTGCCCTTCATGTTGGTATGTCTTCTCTGACATCTTCCTGAAATGGAACTGTTGTGGCTGCTGGCGGCGGCTCAAACAGTTCCTCTACATCGTTGTCATGGACCCTTTCATTGACCTCGGCATCACCATCTGTATCGTCCTCAACACCGTCTTCATGGCCATGGAGCATTACCCCATGACTGAGGAATTTGAGGAGCTTCTGAGCATTGGGAATCTGGTCGGTGATGAAAGTCAGATAGTTGGTGTCTCTTCAAGTGAAAGCTTTGGTAGTGCTGTTGATTTGTGAAATAACTATTCACATCACTTCCTCAGTGAAATGATGTATGTTTTTACCACGAAGCTCATTGGAAGATCATTCTGTTGGATTTAAATATCCTTTGATAAGGATTAATGAACAATCAATAAGAGAGAAGGTTTGATACACAACGCATTAGTGCATCAAACCTTCTCTCTTTTGGATAATGTTCTAAAGCTAAATCTCCGTAAGAATCTGCTGTTGCAGCTTCGTTATTCTGCTCCAAATTGATGAAGCTGACCTGGGATCACCAGCCTCTCAATGCGGAGAAATACATTTAATAATCAATAAATAGAAGTATATAAATGTTTTGAGTAAAAGTAAAACTTTATTAGAAGGGATGTCAAACATCATATTGCGTCATATCATAGAGATATAACAAATAGACAGTGAAGTGCAGGAGCTGCAGCTCCAGTTCTGCAATGTTTAAAATCCCATTCATTCAATAGCCTTGGTGCTAAGCATCTTCTGCTGACCTCTTACCCCGGATCCTTGGCCATAGGTCTTCACAGGGATCTTCACAGCTGAGATGGTCCTTAAACTTCTGGCCATGGACCCTTACTACTACTTCCAGGTCAGGACTTCCTGTCTTGTTGTAGTGTTAAAATATGGCCATTTTCTGAATTCTTGACTGCAGCCCAATTCAGTGATGGCGACAGACAGCTGTTGCCAAGGTAACATGTGTCTCTCATTAGTAATTTCCCATTGTTCCAGGTGGGTTGGAACATCTTTGACAGCATCATTGTCACCATGAGTCTTGTGGAGCTGGGATTGGCTGACGTTCAGGGCCTGTCTGTGCTGCGCTCCTTCCGATTGGTCAGTGTGAACTCACTTATTACACTCTTAAAGCCAATCAAGTCATTACCTGTTTCCATCTACATGTCTGTCCTCACATCTGTCTCCTTCTGTCTCACGTCTAGATGCGAGTCTTTAAGCTGGCCAAGTCGTGGCCGACCCTCAACATGTTGATCAAGATCATTGGGAACTCGGTGGGAGCTCTGGGGAACCTAACTCTGGTCCTGGCCATCATTGTCTTCATCTTCGCAGTTGTTGGCATGCAGCTGTTCGGGAAAAACTACAAAGAGTGCGTCTGTCGCATTTCACTTGACTGCGAACTTCCCCGCTGGCATATGGACGACTTCTTCCATGCCTTCCTCATCATCTTCAGGATCCTGTGTGGCGAGTGGATTGAAACCATGTGGGACTGCATGGAGGTCTCAGGTCAGACCATGTGTCTGATTATCTTCATGATGGTCCTTGTCATCGGAAATCTTGTGGTGAGTCTGTGTAGTTCAGGCTCAGACTACATGACGATCCACCCCCTCCAAGGACCAGTCGATGGGTGGGGGGGGTGGACAGTGTAGAACAGCGGCACTGCACGGCGTCACGCCGCAGAGATGCGATGATGCTGGAGGGACGCGAATCGGCGATTGAGCAGCGTGTTTCTTGCGGCGACTTCGCCACGAACTCAATGCGATTCCAGGCGAAGTCGCGTCAAATGGCCAAACGCAGAAAGTTGAAATATTCAATCTTGGGCGACAAAACGCTGTGACGCTGTGGCGCGATAGCCTACATCGTCCTGCAGACACCGAGCTATACAATACATCCTCGGACATTGATTGCGAACGGTCCGGGAAAGATCTCGCACTTTTAACAAACAGCATACAACCCTATGTGCATTTTTACAGCATCCCATCACTGCACTGAATATAGTACAATAAATTGTAGGGTAATTGTATTGTTAAACCGCACACTGATACTAAATATTGAATAATATAAAGGACGTTTGCTCAATGATAACGTGTGTGTGGCCGTTTGGTTGTGCTTGAGAATACGGTGTCTCTCCACAGTTCCCTCGGCATGGAAGTATGATGAGAAGCCGGGGAAGTCCAGTGCCCCATCCGGTTAATCCGATCCCATGATACGTCGGATTTTGCTGCAGATGTGTCAGAAGGGGTGGAGGGTTGCATCTGGTGCACGCTGAAATGTTGACCCAAAAGCAAACCGGAGACACAGTTTTGAGGTCACAAAGAAAGGATTTATTTCTCGTGAGGCTCGTGAGGAGAGGCTCGGGGGTGGGTTGCGGGCAGGTACGGTGGAAGACCGTGCAGGTTACAGAGCGCAGGCTGAGCAAACATGCTGTTTTGTCGTGGCAAGTTGTGTCGCATCACGTCGATGGGAGACAATGATCTGACACGGAGGCCCGGGAGACAATAGGCTTTAACTGGTGCCAGATTGGTGATTGGCCACAGGTGAGAGTGGTGAGAGAGCGCTCCTCTCGGGCATCCCGCCCAGCCTGAAAACACAGGAGCGCCAGCCAGCACCCAGGATCAAAATATATAAATTAGTGAAGGCCAAGAAATCATCATCACCACACGATGGTGTCCATGGAGTTGACCAATGCCTGTAGGTGGAGATGACAGTGCTGTTTGTTCTCGCTGGGCCTCAGAGCAGCAGGCGGAGAACACATACGATGTGTAGCATTCTTCCTCTTAGCCTGCAGAGGTTGTGCTGTCCTGATTTCCTCGCCCTTTTTCACCGCCAGGTCGATCGACTCGCTTACCAACAGACCTGGTGCTGGGACCACGCCGTGGTCTTTAGCCAGTTTAGCCAGAATGGCTTCTTTACTTCTCTAGGGAACCATCATCTTATAGTGGTGGAGAGATTTGTGTTTCCCTATGAACCTGAGGGCTGTGTTGTCTGGAGCCTTGTGCTCCTGGTAGGGTTACCCATGGCAAAGTGGTCTCAGGCGAGGGGCCAGGCTAAGCTAATGGTTCAAAAGATCCTATCAAAAGGCAGAAGAGGGAAGGAGCTACCTGGCCCAGAGGAAGCCCACACAGCCCGAAGGAGTGACACGGCACCCTGAAACTGCCAACTGCCGCAATTCCCATGGGCTCACCACCTGTGGGGAAATCGATGGGGTCAGGTGCGGTGCTACAAGGGTGGTAGTGACAGTAGGGGATCTAGACGGAACAGACTTGGGCGGCAGATGCTAGCTCTGGGGACGTGGACGTCCTCATAGGTTGGACAAGAGACAAATATTCACCCGTCCGCGGCCTAGGTTGATTTAGTGGCCGTACAGACCACCTCCGCCTCCGTCTCCTCTTCTGTTCTTGGTATTCATTAAAAGAAGTTGCTCTTCAATGTTCAGCAGCTCCAACGCCATCAACTGTTTTTTGGTGGGCCTCTCTGCCATCTTCCAAGGTGTATGTGGACAACAAGACTGAGTAAATAAACAAACCAACGACTTCCACACAAAAACGTGACTCTCTAGGTCGTCTTCGACAAAAAACGTTACTCCACCTAGTGTTCTGGCGGGGAACTGCTCTGTAACACACGCAAGCCTTTTTGAACCATGAATTAAAACGAGTGTGTCGACACAGCGGTGCGTTAAGACGCACCAGCCTTCAGCCTCCATGGTAAAGTCTACTCCAAGGTGCTGGAAAGGAGGGTTCGGCCGATAGTCGAACCAAGGACTGAAGAGGAACAATGCGTTTTTTGTCCTGGGCGTGGAAGTCGGAGGCGTTTCTGGTGGGGGTTGGCCTTCGCCAGGGCTCGCCTTGTCACCAATCCTATTTTCACGTGATATAAGGCATAGTTGGGGGGAGGAGGGCCTACAGTTCGGGGGGCTGTGGATTTCATCGCTGCTTTTTGATGATATGGTGATAATAGCATTCTCGGTCTGTGACCTCTAACTCTCACTGGAGTGGTTCGCAGCCGAGTGTGAAGCGGTTGGGATGAGGATTAGCACCTCTAAATCTGAGGCCATGGTTCTCAGCAGGAAACCGATGGATTGCCTACTCCGGGTAGGGAATGTGTCCTTACCCCAAGTGAAGGGGTTCAAGTACCTTGGGGTCTTGTTCACAAGTGAGGGGAAGATGGAGTGTGAGTTTGGCCAGAGAATCGGAGCAGTAGGGGTCGTATTGCATTCTCTTTACCGCACCATTGTGACGAAAAGAGAGCTGAGCCGGAAGGCAAAGCTCTCAATCTACCGGTCAATCTTCGTTCCTACCCTCGAGGAGGGTGCGAGAGCGCAGCGTAAGCTGGCGAAGGGCTGGCCCAGGGCTGAATGTATTTTAGGACGCTGTAATTATATGTCACTCATTTATCTTTATCAGTCATTGGCTAAACTGCTTCTTATCTTAGCCGGACTGAGACATGCAGACATGCTGAGAGGACGTGCAGGAAAAGCATATATTTTGCACAGATATCTTATTCTACAAATATTACTGGGTATATTCCATGTTTCAAAATCACAAATGGATATTGTGGTAGATAGGTGGGGCCACACCTCATGGTCCTCTATGGACCAGCCGCCACTGTCTGGTTGCCTATTACTAAACAAGCCCACTTCTCCCTGGTCTTATTTTAGGTCCTGAATCTCTTCCTCGCTTTGTTGCTGAGTTCATTCAGTGGTGATAATCTTGCGGCTCCAGAAGAAGAAGGAGAAAACAATCTTCAGATTGCCATTAACAGAATCAGCCAGGCTGTGGCTTGGGCAAAGAAATGGATCCTGGAACAATTCTGGACTCTCACTGGAAAGAGGAACCACGTTAACCCAGACCCCCTCGGTAGGAATAGATCCAGAACAAAAGCTAAGACTTTATCTATGGATTTATTTGAGAATCTATTCATCTGTGTTCTTTTCTTGCTGTTATTTGTTAAGTTGTGTTATTCATTTGGACTTCAATTTGTTTTGTTTTTTGTTTGTTTTTGTTTGTTTTGTTTGACAATTTGTTTTGTTTACAGTGGTTTTTTTCTCTTTATTTTATATCTGTATTACAGTATTGGTGGAAGTTCTTTAAATTATAGATTTCATGACGGAATATATATTGTGTGACTTACTGATTGTTTTACTTTTTGTACATTTTATTGTTAGGGGTTGACATTAAAGAAGACAACAGGACGACACAGGAGATTTTACCTTTGACCTTAGTGACTTTGGGCCAGCCTTTGTCAAAGGTCAAGTCCCTTGACTATTACCATGGCAACATGGTCCCTATTGCAGAGGCCGAGTCTGACCTAGAGACGCCCGACAACGATGAAGAGGAAGAAGATGAGGAGGAAGAAACGCAGTCCCATGTGAACATTCTTCTATTCTATTCTGTTCTGTTCTATTCCATGTTAGATCATATTTTATTGTGTTCTAGAATATTCTATTCTTTTGTGGCTTTTAACCTAAAACGGAACTCTTTTAGGTCTACTTCATATAAAACTAACTTCAGTTAGTGGAAGACCCCAGAGGTGAACAGCCCAAATATCTATTATTCTTTCTTTACCTTTATTTAACCAGGTAACTCAATGGAGAAAAAATTGTCATCCATAGTCGATACAAAATATTTGAATAGAAAATAGCTAAAAGTTTAAAGGGAATCAGAAATAAAGAGAGAATGAGAGTTAAAAAACAAATAAGTCAAAAACAGAATAAACGTTCATAAAAGAATGAGATTTCAATAGAGAATGAGAGATTAAGAGAGAATGAGAATTAAAAAACGAAGGATAGTTAAAGAGAGAATGAGAGTAAAAAAGAAAATTAGTCAAATTATGATGATAATTAAAGCGAATGTGCATTACATTCATGCATTTTGTTTTATTAGTAATAAGAAGAAGCTGAATGTTGGAGGAGACATTGAAATGATTCATAAAATACTCTTCTCTTATCCTGTGAGTATTGTAAAGTCACATCCATGACCGGTACCAAGGAGAGATGATTGCATGCATGGTGAGAACCCTGCGATCACAGGTGTGGGTTGTCAACAACACCCTTTTGATGTACTTGATGGTATGTTTGATGTGTTTTCTTAGTGTGATGAGTCATCGGTTTGCAGCACGATACAGAAACCTCCTGAAGCTCTTGAAGATGCAGAAAAAGAAGAGCATGAAGCAAACAGCCCTGAGGACTGTTTCACAGACGGTACAAAAACCCACAAACGTATCTACTCCTTTGTGTAACTTGCAGAAAACTTCTCACACCAGAACAAATAAATGAAGCCCAGTGGCAGTCTGTTTCTTTCCTAATAAAGCTGCTTTTCTTAAAACTCCCTTGCTGCTCTCTTCTGAAGGAGAGTGAACATCCCCATACGGATGCCTTGGTCTTCTATACAACTGCGCACGGCCCACTAACTGTCTGTCTTTGCCGTTCATGTGAACTGATGCATATCATTCATTTAACAATCCCGGAACCCTTTCTGTTCCATGAAGGAGTGAATCTGTCTGCTAGGTGGTGTTGGGTATTGTTTTAAAGAGAGCAGAATATGAATTGACAGCAGATAAGTTTGAAACTACATCTTGAGTCAAGAACAAAACAACAGGTGAAATGTTCCAGTCTGGAAACAATACCATCTGATTCTAATACAACGTTTGTGTATATATTTCAGATTGTTACAGACGCTGCCCATTCCTAGACATAGACACGTCCCAGAGCAGAGGGAAGGTGTGGTCTAACATCAGGAGTACCTGCTTCTTCATCGTAGAACACAACTACTTTGAGACCTTCATCATTTTCATGATCCTGCTGAGCAGTGGAGCTCTGGTAAATTAATAAATGATTGATTTACACGTTAGGCTTTCTTTGGTCATAATGTTGTTAACATGATGTCTATTTAATGCTATCACGGGATCAGGCAGGCCTGATCTGATCTGAAAAACGAATGCGGTGTGAGTACTAACCTGTGGAGACAACATGGCTGAGCTTCTGGATACTAATCATGGCCACCACATTATACCCAGGTGAGATGATCTTCACTTGAATTTGGCATTTGGCATTTTCCACTGATTACAGATAATCGTTATTGTCCGATATCAATATCCTATCTTTTTCTTTTTTTGTAGCTGCCGATGTACAATACTCCAGGCCACTACGTTTTGAGAATTATATAATAGTTGAATCAGAAGTGCAAAGAGCACAGTCGTGTAGCCTAATGTAGAAGGAAGGATCATCTTTATTCACCAAGGGTACAAGGAACCTGCTATAGGAATTCCTTGTTCTTTGCTGTCACACTATGTAGAAAGTTGGAGGAATGATAGGTACACCTTCAGTGTTCTGTCACCTGACTTTTCTAGATATTCCTGTAAACTAGAAGACCTCTTATAAAACTATACGGGAGAGCTTGGGATAAATTTGTTGTTTTTTTACCAACGTAAACTTAAAAGCTGTGGTGTGAGTACTAACCTGTGGAGACAACATGGCTGAGCTTCGGGATACTAATCATGGAAAAAAGACATATCCCCATTCCATCCCATATTCTACAATCTATCGCTCCTGACCTTCGTCCTTTTATCACCTGTCTGATTAACACTTCTCTGTTATCTGGCTCTTTCCCCCACTCCTGAAGAAACCAACCCTCAACCCATCTAACGAAAACAACTACAGACCGGTCTTTTGTCTTCACTTTCTGTCCAAAACTCTTGAACTGCTATCTTTAACCAACTCTCCTCCTATCTCCACCGTAACAACCTTCTTGACCCCGACCAGTCAGACTTCAAGGCAGGCCATTCCACAGAGACTGCTCTCCTCGCTGTCCCAGAGCAACTCCACACGGCCAGAGCCGCCTCTCTCTGCTCTGTCCTCATCCTTGTGGACCTTTCTGCTGCATTTGACAGACTAAACCACCAGATCCTTATTTCCTCCCTTCAGGAACTCAGTGTCTCAGGCTCTGCTCTCACACTTCTCTCATCCTACCTTGATGGCCTCACTTACCGGGTAACCTGGAGAGGATCTGTATTGGAATCTTTTCCTCTTACTACCAAAGGTAGTCAAGGTTCCGTCCTGGGTCCCCTTCTCTCTCTCTCTCCACCAACTCTCTCAGCGCTGTCATTTGCTCGCATGGCTTCTCCTACCACAGTTATGCCGATGACACCCAATTAATTCTCTCCTTCCCTCACTCGGACACTCAGGTGGCGGCTTGGCTCTCTGCCTGTCCAACTGACATCTCTCAGTGGATGTCCGCCCACCATCTGAAAATCAACCCCGGCACGATTGAACTACTTCTCTTTCCGGGTAAAGGTTCTCCTTCCCAATACCTGACTGTTAACTCTGTATTAACGCCCACTTTGACTGCTAGGTGTGACACTTGACAGCCAACTCTCCCTGACTCCCAACATTACAGCGACAATGCGATCCTGTAGATACACGCTCTACAACATCAGGAGAATACATCCCTTTTTCACTCAGAAGACGGTGCAGGTACTGATTCAGGCTCTTGTCATCTCCCGCCTTGACTATTGTAACTCTCTCCTGGCAGGTCTCCCTGCCACCGCCAATCGACCTCTGCAGCTCATCCAGAATGCAGCAGCTCGACTGGTCTTTAACCTTCCAACATCTGTTGTGTATAGATGACACTTATTACCCTTCAGTCCAACTTGATGGAGTGGTCACTCTTCAATGTTTCTCCGTGAGGGTTCTTCCTGTTCTCAAGGACTTAAGTAGAACTCTGTCAACGTGGTAACATTACTGTGTGTGTGAACAGGCGTTTGAGGACATCTACCTGGAGCAGCGGCGGGTCATAAAGACGATCCTGGAGTACGCAGACCAGGTGTTCACCTACGTGTTTGTGGTGGAGATGATTCTAAAGTGGGTCGCCTATGGATTCAAGACTTACTTCACCAACGCATGGTGCTGGCTCGACTTCCTTATTGTAGATGTAAGTATGTTTGTTCCGGCTACTAGTCGAGTCAACAGAAATGGATTTAGTTGAACTAACCTGATTAGAGAAACGCTGAAAGAACCTGATCTCACCTCCACCTCATCAAACCATGTCCAAAGAAAACCATCAGCGTCACTATGAGACACTCAGAACCGCTGACATAGTATAAAGAGTGAGTCACAGGCCCTTCCCAACCTGATAGGACTATCAGTCAAAACAATGTGAAGCAGGACTGTTTCGAGAATTGAGCATCTTTTCTCTAAATTAGTGTTTGTTTCACAGTGTCTGTTCAGTTGAAGATAAAGATCTTGTTCCACCAACATCATTATTATTATTATTACTCTAATAAATTCCAGTCGTATCTCTGTTGGATTGTTTCTGACTCACGTAATCCATCCATCCATCCATCCATTGTCAAACCGCTTATCCTGCACACAGGGTCGCGGGGGGGCTGGAGTCCATCCCAGCCAACTTCAGGCGATAGACAGGGTACACCCTGGATTGGTCGCCAGCCAATCGCGGGGCTACACAGAGACACACAACCATTCACACTCACATTCATTCAACTACGGGCAATTTAGAGTCCCCAATCAACCTGATCCCCAGAGCATGTCTTTGGACTGTGGGAGGAAGCCGGAGAACCCGGAGAGAACCCACGCAGACACAGGGAGAACATGCAGACTCCACACAGAAAGGCCACTGGGTGGAATCGAACCCAGGACCTTCTTGCTGTGAGGCAACAGTGCTAACCACCACGCCACCGTGCCGCCCTCACGTAATCCAACAACTTTCAATTACTAATAAGACCTGAGCATTGTAGTTGAGTGAGAATATGTGATGTCATCACCAGGTGTGCTGTGTCTTCCAGGTGTCTCTAGTGTCACTCACAGCAAACATCTTGGGATACTCAGAGCTGGGAGCCATCAAGTCACTGAGGACTCTGAGAGCTCTAAGGCCACTGAGGGCACTGTCTCGCTTTGAGGGCATGAGGGTGAGACAGGCATTATGAACACTTACACTCAGACGGACAGGTTCATCTGTAGGTAATCTGTCTGTCTGTCACCAGAGGATTTTAACAGTCTTCCTGTTTGTCTCAGATCCATCACACATTTGTATCAAAGGTCCGTTATAGTATTATGTCGGTTATCCTCGACAGAAACTCAATTTTGAATGCCACGTGACGGCTGTCGTCCAATCTGACGAGGACATGAAAACCGTCCTCCATGGTTTTATTACAGGCTGTAATATGACAAAGCGTGCAACATGCTGCGTATTAGAGCCAGTAATACAGCGTGTAACATGCTGCATAATACATGTTTACATATTGCAAGCTAAATATTACAGCCTTTCCCTGTCTGTCCGCAGGTGGTGGTAAATGCTCTTGTTGGAGCCATCCCCTCCATCTTCAACGTGCTCCTGGTTTGTCTGATCTTCTGGCTCATTTTCAGTATCATGGGAGTGAATATGTTTGCAGGAAAGTTTTATCATTGTTTCAACGAGACATCTGCAGAGATGTTTCTCCCTGAAGACGTCAACAACAGGAGCGAGTGCATCGCTCTGATAAAGGCAAATTTCACGGAGGTGCGCTGGAAGAATATAAAGGTCAACTACGACAATGTGGGGATGGGATACCTGTCACTGCTGCAAGTGGTGAGTCTGACCTATGAGACTTATGACCCTGATGTGGCGTAGGGGGCGGGGCATCAACTGGGGGGGTAGGTGCATGTAATCATGAGTGACAGCTTAACATTTAAGGCTGAGGACAGCTTCGGACATCATGGGTCAATAGCTCGTCACCAAAGCGTTAAAACACAAACGACACCTCTCTGTAACCACAGTGATGTAGACAACCAGCTACAACCCCAATTAACCATCATTTTAGGAATATGGACTGGTCTGCCAGTTGGACGAATCACATTGATTTTAATGTGCACACGGGACCGTCTGCAAAGCGGCATCCCCATGGTTACAGAGAGGTCGTCGTTTGTGTTTCAATAACATTTCCCTGACCAGCTACTAAACCAGGAAGTCCAAATCTGTGAATATCTTTCCAATTCTACCGAACTCAGACGCCATCGATGCTACGCAGCGTTCACAGTTGTTTGTGGAAGAGGGAAACTTCAGAGATTCACGTGCGGTTGATGAATGGTTCATTCTATATAGTTAATTGGTCTCATTCTGCAATTCATGGAAAGTAGGTTCCAAAACAGCTCGTTAAACAGAACTTTGTCTCTGGTGTCAACGGTTTTACATCCAATCTTAAATATAGTGAAGAGAAAGGGTTGATTCTTAAGTCTTAAGTCGCATGCCGACGTCTCCTCAAGGCAATGCGGTTGAGGAAGCGGTCACTCATGATTACACGCCCCTCCCAGTTGATGCCCCGCCCCCTACGACACATCAAGGTCAAAAGTCTGAATGTGAACGCAGGGGTAGAGAGGGTGCGCTGGGAACCACAAGATTCCCAGCGCAACTACAAGGTAGTTCAAGTCCTGGCTGCCCCATGTCCCATGTCGAAGTGTCCCTGAGCAAGACACCTAAAATGTAAAAGCCATGGGTTAAAAATGTAATGTAAGTTGCTTTGGATAAAAGCGTCCTGAAAATATTTTTCGGCCACTTCTTTTTATTTTGAATACATTGTTGTATTTTTCAATGTTCAAAGACAAAACTTAAACTTTCAGGTTACATTTGTTTTTCAAATGAACAAAACTTTTGACCTGGATTTGGCTCCATATTTCTGGCCTTTCCTTGGAGCTCTATTAAGGCATACTATTGTATTTACCACACACAGTTCAGGTCCAGTTTGTTTGACTCACAGCCTTTCCTCCAAATACAAAACCAGAAGAAATTAGTTGTTTAGTTGTTTTGGTATCTATTGATATATATACATCTATTGTCAGTCAAACTGTGTTCACAGATGTTTTACAGTTGTGTCTGTTGCGTTTATTCAGATATTTCATGTTCAGGTGCCTCCTTCAAAAATAAGTGAATATGTCTGTTTCAGGCTACTTTTAAGGGCTGGATGGACATCATGTATGCAGCTGTGGACTCCAGAGACGTCAGTACTAATAGTAGTTCTTTAAACTTACATGTCATTAAGTGTTGAATGAATACTCTTGATTGAATTTCTAAATTTTAATAATAAGCTACCTTGCATTTGTCTAGGTGGAGTCCCAGCCGTTATACGAGGCCAATTTGTACATGTACCTATACTTTGTCATCTTCATCATTTTTGGCTCCTTCTTCACCCTCAATCTTTTCATCGGAGTCATCATAGACAACTTCAACCAGCAGAAATCTAAGATATGTTTCTACTCAAAGACATTATTTTACTCTCTAAATACAGAAATGATAACAGATTTTTATCTGCTCCTATGTTTTGTCCTCTTTACTTAGGAGGAACAGATCTTTTCATGACAGAGGAGCAGAAGAAATACTACAATGCTATGAAGAAACTCGGTTCTAAGAAACCTCAGAAACCGGTTCCACGACCCGAGGTCAGTTCCGTTCCTGCCACACTTGCTTAGATACGGGTTTGAAGATTCAGGTGAGATTTGATGGAGGCAGCTTTCTGTCCGTCATATTTTTCTGCTCTCTCTGTCTCACCAGAACAAGTTCCAGGCTTTGGTTTTTGACCTGGTGACCACACAGCTTTTTGACATCTTCATTATGGTCTTGATCTGCCTCAACATGGTGACCATGATGGTGGAGACAGATGAGCAGAGCAAGGAGAAGGAGATGATCCTGTACTGGGTCAACCTTGTTTTCATCATCGTCTTCACTACAGAGTGCTCTCTAAAGATGATCGCTCTACGGCAGCACTACTTCGCTGTCGGATGGAACATCTTTGACTTTGTTGTTGTCATCCTGTCCATTGTAGGTGAGTCGGCGGATCAGTGTCCGGTGATGTCATTGTCTCATCAAGGGATGTCATCGTTCATTGTTGTGTCAAAGGGCTTTCTATTTATATATAATGTCCAGAAACATCATCGAATGGCAAAAAGTTTAGGGGTACTTTGTGGGTATTAATAGCGGTTCTGGTTTAAGTCTATTAACCATGTTCTGTTTAAACCCTGAAGAACAACATTTTGTCTTGCTTCCTTACTTCCTTCCCTTTAGGCCTTCTCCTTGCTGACATCATAGAGAAATATTTCGTTTCTCCCACGCTGTTCCGTGTTATCCGATTGGCTCGCATCGGCCGAGTCCTTCGTCTCATTCGTGGAGCCAAGGGGATCCGGACACTGCTGTTTGCCCTGATGATGTCACTTCCTGCCTTATTTAACATCGGCCTGTTACTCTTCCTGATCATGTTCATATTTTCCATCTTTGGCATGTCTAACTTTGCATATGTGAGGAAAGAGGCCATGATTGACGATATGTTTAACTTTGAGACATTTGGGAACAGCATGATCTGTTTGTTTATGATCACCACGTCGGCTGGGTGGGACGGTCTGCTTAATCCCATCATGAACACACCACCGGACTGCGACCCCAATTTGGAGAACCCTGGATCCATGGTCCGCGGAGACTGTGGCAGCCCAGCATTAGGCATCGTCTTCTTCACCACCTACATCATCATGTCCTTTTTAGTTGTGGTCAACATGTACATCGCTATCATCCTGGAGAACTTCAACGTGGCTACAGAGGAGAGCGCTGACCCGCTGTGTGAGGATGACTTTGAGATGTTCTATGAAACATGGGAGAAGTTTGACCCTGACGCTTCTCAGTTCATACAGTACAGGTGAGTTCTAGTCTGGTAGTCATGGATCCTAATAGGACCCAACAAAGCTCTAACAGACTCTACTATGTTTCACAGCAAGCTGTCAGATTTCTGCGACACTCTGAAGGATCCTCTGAGGATTGCCAAACCCAACACCATTAAACTGATCCACATGGATCTGCCTCTGGTTCCTGGAGACAAGATCCACTGTTTGGACATCCTGCTGGCTCTCACTGCACAGGTAGCATTACCTGCCCATATGTCATGTTAAAGGGGACATATTATGAAAATTAGCTAACCCTAATCCATTGCTAGGTCTTCTACGTGTTAATTTGGCGATCTGTCTGCCATGTTTACCAACCACTTAAACGCTGAAGAAAAACCATTCTGTGTTTTTGTATGATTCCTGTAATGGACAATCTGTTTTGATGTTGCGGGGTTTGCCGAGGTCACCAGACCAAGGGGGAGTCTCCCTTACATCGCCTTAGCTCTCACCCCACCACATCCCCCCAACACGCCAAAGCAGTCAACCTTCAAAATGCCCTGCAGTCTGCTGCACAGTTCCTTTCTCCACATGGTGTCCCAGTTAGAAGGCACAATAACCAGATCTATTCACTTCATATATGAGGACCATGTCCTGGCAAGAAATGGGGGGGAAAGCTGTGGGTGAAATACAGGGATTTTCACACAGACATGACAGGATGGGAGAAATTATTTGCTTTTTTAACATCAAAGCATGTGAACGTGTTAAAACCCTGTGTGTGCGGTGTAGGGTTTTAACCCTAAAGAAGCATGATATGTCTCCTTTGAAGGATTGAAGGATGTTGTCCCTTCCTGTCTTATGTCATTGAACATTGTGTTATATCATGCTTATCATTTGTGTGTAGGTTCTGGGTGATTCAGGAGAGATGGACGCTCTCAAAGCTAGCATGGAGGAGAAGTTCATGGCCAATAATCCCTCTAAGGTGTGACTGCTATTGTATAGTTTCAACTGTCATATTATAAAAGGGATGGATATTGCTTTTATTTAAGTATACTGGTCACAGAGAGCCATTGTTACCTACAGGTGTCCTATGAACCGATCAGCAGCACTCTGCGGAGGAAACAGGAAGAGATGGCAGCAATGGTGATCCAGAGAGCTTACAGGAAACACCTTCTAAAGCGGACCGTCAAATTGGCCTCGTACAAATACCGAGAGAAGATGGAGGGGAGGCGAGACATGTTGTCGCCCTCTGAGACTGAAGGAGTTCTCTATAAACGTATCAGTCAGCTGTACGGAGACAGCAAGGACACAGAGGAGCCCAGATCAGGGGTTTCAGGTGAGGGTCCTCTCACCCGGGTGGAGCTTCAGAGCGAGTATCTCCTCCATGCTGCACCTACCCTCAATACTTCCAACTTCCTACCTGATGAGAACCTGAGAGAATCCATCGTCTGATGTTTGACATCTTTCTCCTCGTTGCCCTTTGTATGACCTCACCTGTCGGAGGAGCAGTAGTCTCTCTTTTAGCTTCTGTAAAGATTGATTGTCATGGCTTTTTACACCCAGGTTTTATCTCTGTGTTTTCATATTTCAAACATTACAAATCAAATTGAGTTTATAAGTAACAGTTATTGTGATGTTAGAGGTCTTGAGAAGTGGTGGAGCTAGTGTAGCTGCATTTCATAAATCTCTTTGTGGGTTCGCTGTTTTCTGAATCAAGTTTGTCAGCATTTTAACAAGCTACGTTTCTAAATCACAATTCCACCATAACGTTCTGCTGCGGTCTGATTTAAAACTGGGAAGAATCACTAAGTGAGGCTCCCCTCACACACAGACGTGAAGATAGAAGCACTTCTTGTGGAATTATGTAACTGATGCCAACAATGTCTGTCAGGAAATTTAAAAAAAAAGTTTGCTTTGACGATACATACATTGTAAACAACACACGTGTTAAAATTGGAGGAAAAGCTATATGCTAATAGCTGTTAACTGTTAGCAGTACTGTTATGTTTGGCTAAATAACGGCGCTATCAGCTGTTAATGAAGGCTCCATTGAGTTACATTATAAGGGGTTCAAAGTTCATTTATTAAAGTTGAGTAATGGCAAAGGTAAATTATAACATTTACTGTCATCTGTTGAAATTGAATCTTTTCAAATGTTGTTTTTGGTAGGAAACTTGAATGACTGCACTTTAACGTATGAGAAAGGGTATTATGATTACAATGTTTTTTTCTTTGATGGACTGTTAAAAGATCAATACTTTGTATCACATCGATCAAATCTATACTTATCAGATTGAAGAAGAAAAGTGTCATAGATCCTGGGTGTACAGAAGAAAGCAAGAATATTCAAACCAGACAATAGCTATATTAATGTACATATAGATCATATTTTTAAAAGAATTCTTAGGTCCTTATGGAACAGATTGAATTTCTGATTTTTACAAGAATTAGAGTTTGGCTGTAACACTGCATTAGATTATTTTTTATTTGATCATTCTTTTTTTAATAAGTATACTCTAAACCAAGACATTAATATTATGAGGATCAGTGAGCCAACTGCACACTGCAGCACATCTGCATTGATGAGCTTTATTCTGGCTGGTTGCTATGACTAATTCATACCACAGTATATTTGGAGTCTTTCATAATGCAGCTGTAACATAACTTGATGTCCACAATACAATATAAATAGAGTGCATGAAACATGTTCTGGGATGTACATTGTGAAAAGTTGAAATAATAAAATCAAAATAATCTTCAGCCTTCTTTTCTGCACTGAGCAGCAGATGTTTTCTTTCTTTCTTGATCATTTCATGTATTTCCTCTATTATTTTTGGTGTATCTGTGTTTGTTCAATTATTATAAATTGTATTTATTTGTGGAGTAAACCAAAAACCAAACTGAATATGATTACATTACATTAGTATTATTATGTACATTAGTATCATGTCATAAGCCTGCTGATTGGTCAACTTTCCATTTTTGAGCAGGATGAATGACAACTATGACCTGGTGTATGTCAGGATGGGGTAGGCAGGACCCAGATGCAGACTTTGAAAACAAAAAGACTTTAATCGTCAAAATCCAAATCAAAAATGCCAAGGGGGCAAAAACGCAGGCGGGACCAGGAACAAGACACTAAGGTAATCACGAGCATGCAAACATTCCATAATGACGCGACAAGGGAAAAAGAGACACAAATGGCTTAAATACACTAGGAAGGTGCAGGTGATTGGACACAGGTGGAAACAATCATGGACACAAACAATCACAGGGGCTGACAGGACAAGGCAGGAAGTAAAGTTAACCCAGGAGCACCAGAGGCATGAAACTACAAAATAAAACAAGACGTGAACCCAAACCGTGACAGTATAGACATATACGATTAAAGCTCCACGCCTTCTTCAACACGTTTCAGCTGCTGTTAATCATGTACATCTTCTTACATGTGCATTTTTAAGCGCGCTCTTTCGTAAATGTGCCCCTTTGTACATGTGCACCTTCACTTGTGGAACTTTGTAAGTGTGCACCTTCATTCCTCTGCACTTTCGCACGTGTCCAGTTCAACCTTAAAACATGTGCACCTTGATCCCTTCGTACATGTAGCTAATAGTCTACATATATTGGTTAACTAGCTGTTTGTTAACAAGCTCCTGGTCAATATATGTTGGTTAATGAGCTGTTTATTTTCCACTGGCCTCTGCTAGTTGTGGTGGAAATTTGTGGATAGACCCTTCTGAGAAATCGAAAGTATCTTAAATGTGTTTGTGATTAAGAGAATAAAAATATATAAAGTAAAGATTACAGAAAATCATCAACACAAGCCGTCAGTACAAGACAGAAGTTAAATAACAGTGTCTATCTGATGGTGGTTGGCCCTTCAGTGGTCCTGCTGTGCGCCTGGCTTACTACTCACAATTACTTGAATTATTTCTGTCATAGGAATTGCATGTATTATACATTGTTCATTCTGTACACATGGCATCCATTGTAGTCTGTCCATGATGGAGTGGATGATGGAGTTCCTGTGATGATGGAGGGTTTCGGGACAGAGGATGTCGTATGTGTACAGACTGTAAAGCCCTCTGAGGCAAATTTGTAACTTGCGATTTTGGGCTATACAAAATAAAATGAATTGAATTGTTCCTTCTCCCTTAAAAGAGCAGGAATATCTGACAAAGCTCCGTTGTGGTGTAAATAGAACCTTTAATACACATCAGAGAGGTTTGTGTTGTCCAATCAGAAGACACCCCTGCACAAAGGAACCTCAATAGGAAACAGATGTTGTAGGAAAACACCCTTAACCCCCCCTTAATGTGACCACAGCAATCATGTGTTGACAGACACAAGGAAAGACAACAAATGGATCAATAAAAGAACACGTTGTTTCCAGCTGTAAAAACACGATGCCACTGAGGACTAGTTTAGGTTTCAGGGTTCCCAAGAAAGGTCACACAGTTCCTGAGAGACCCACATTGTGCAGATCGATAAATTCTCCCCCACTGGTCTCTACTGGTCTTTATTGATTCTCTTAAGTCTACAAGATGTTGGTTAACAAGCTGTTGGTTTACTAGCTCTTAATCTATATATGTTGGTTAACAAGCTGTTTGTTAACAAGCATAAAATAAAGTTGTTCAAGCTGCTTGTTGTGTCACCTCTTCGGTTTCACATGGATCTGAGCTGAGCTCTCTGTGGTTGTATCACTTTCACGGAGTGTTGAATAAAGTCAGTTTCCATGTGATGTAACTCCTCTTTGCTAAATGTCGGACCTCAGATCAGTGGCGCTTGTAAATAAATTCAGATCTTGGAGCACAAAAACATCAAACATCTGACTTTGTTTTCTGAAGGAAAACAGATTGTTAAAGCTTTACAAAAGCAACGTGATTCCTTTAAATCTGCTGAAATAAAAAACATCAACTAAGAATTATGACATTTTAAAGAACTGTCACGAACCTTTAGGTCGTCTGGGACTGGTCTTCTTCTGTTCCCAAAGTCAAAACTAAATTACTGTGCCATAATGATCATTACTTTTTGCTAGTGATACCAACTAATTTCTACTGGTCTCTACTGTAATGTACTCAGTTGATATTTTCCTGTAACGATTTTAAAGCCCTGTGCTGCATACTTCTAATTTGTGATTTGGGGCTAAACAAAATAAAATTAATTGAAAAAAATGACTTGATCTCTCCCTAACCTCCACTGAACTGAAATGATCTCTACTGCATTCTAATGCACTTTATTGTACTTTATCTAACTGTAATTTGTCCATCTCTCTTTTTGGACGGATTGTTTAGATATGGTTGGTAATAAAGCATTCTTGGATTTCCCTTTTCTAGTGTTCCGATTCAAAGCTCTTAACTTTAAATGTCAACATTCATCTGTTCATCCTCATTCATACCATGACGACCATAAATAATCATTCGAACACTGAAAGCTGCCATAATTAATCATTCATACGCTGATAACTCCTTCACTGATCCACAGTTCTCTCTGTACATCAGAGATTTCTATCAGTAGCAACTGCTGTTTAATCTATCACCAGTTAAACATTATTATTTAGAAATAATGTTGAAAAGTGTTTTTTACTTGTAGCTCTACAGTCTTTGATGTATACAAAAATCAATTCAACGTCACCAGCCAGTCTTCCACGTTCAACCAATACTATTGTTAGGGTGTAAATGTTAAATAGAGGTCAACGCAAAAACATTCAAAACACAGACAGTGTTGTTTGTTCGCTTCATGTTTCTGATGATGAATAAAATCATCAAGTTCTCTTCTATAAAACCACCAAACTCAAAGCTGAAAAAATCAGAACACAGAAAACAACTCACCAGATCAGATAAAGCAGAATCTGAACCAGAACTGATCCAAGACCAGCCATGAACAGAGGTAAGGCCCCAGATCCAGTGGGTTAGGGTTTTTTAAAGAGAGATAGAACTAATTCAATTAATTTAAGTCTCACTGGTGTGTCTCCATCACTCGTCTCTTACCTCTCCGGCTCCTTCACCTGTCTGTCCCCTTTACTTGTCTCTTCCCTGTCTGTCCGCCTCCCTCTTTTCTCGTACCTGCCCGACTCCCGCACTTGTCTCTTTCCTGACTGTCTCCATGACTTGTCTCTTCCCTGTCCGTCTCTCTCACATTACATTACATTACATTACAGGTCATTTAGCAGACGCTTTTAACCACAGCGACATTACACTTTAAACCCATGGCTTTTCAAATTTTGCCCAGGGAGCAATTAGGGGTTAAGTGTCTTGCTCAGGGACACTTCGACTTGAGACATGGGGCAGCCGGGACTCGAACCACTGACCTTGCGGTTCCCAGCACACCCACTCTACCCCCTGCGCCACGACGACCCCTACATGTCTAACTCCCTCACTTGTCTGTCTGTCAGTCATCCTCCTGCTGTCGGTGGTGTTTCTGGGCGTGTCTACTCAGCCAATCACAGACGGCCGTCTGTTTTCCATCGCTGTGGGTAGAGTCCAACACCTCCACCTGCTCGCTCAGAGACTCTTCTCGGACTTTGTAAGTCAGCAGCTGCTCACACAGCAGAGACAGAAACATTAACCATCAACGTGTGTACTACAACGTGTATTTGTGTTTGTTAGGAGAGTTCTCTGCAATCAGAAGAGCAACGTCAACTCAACAAAATCTTTCTCCAAGATTTCTGCAACTCTGATTACATCATCACCCCCGTCGACAAGCACGAGACCCAACGTAGCTCTGTGAGAGTCCGACCCTTACCACACTGTACTACCACACAATACTATGCTGTGAGATACCATGCTACACAATACCAAACAATACTGCACCGCAAGATACTACACTATACTAAACAACACTATACTAGAGGATTCTGCACTATACTACCCAATGCTACACTACACAATACTACACGACACTGCACTATACTATATTACACAATACCATACTACATGATTATAGGGCTGCACAGTGTGGCCAAAAGTCCATATCCAGGTATTAAGAAAGATTCTGAATTCATTGACCCCGAAAAGGGCCGCCGGCTATCCAAACAGCCGTTCGCCGCTCACTGGCCAACTTGCTTGCCACTGACCTAAGAGTTAGCGTGATATCTTGTTAGCGTGTTAGCTTGTTGTGGCTGCAAACAGCTGTTCGGCCCTCGCCAGCTATCCGAACAGCTGTTTGCCTTTCGCTGGCCAACTTGCTCGCAACTGGCCGGCGAGTTAGCTTGTTAGCGTGTTAGCTTGCTGTGTCTGCTAGTGTTGCCACCAGAGGCTCGACAGACTTTGCAATAAATTGTTAATATATACACTTTTCTATATGTATGCTAGATACATATACAAAACAATACATTATTATATTACACAATACTGCACGATGCTACACAATACAATACTACACAATACTGACCTGTACTACATAACTTTATACTACAAGAAACAAAACAATACTATACTACATTGTGCTGTACTGCACAATAATGCACGTTAATACACTACTACTATACTACAGAATACTGCAAAATGTGTTTGTAATGTGTTGACACTGTTATTGATGTCCTGTCATCTGATTAGTTCTCGGTGTTGAATCTGTTATTGGTCTCCTTTTTTCTTATTGGTTCTAGGTGTTGAAGCTATTATCCATCTCCTATCGATTGGTCGAGTCCTGGGAGTTTCCCAGTCGTTCCCTGTCTGGTGGTTCTGCTCCCAGAATCCAGATTTCCCCCAAACTGTCGGAGCTGAAGACGGGAATCCTCCTTTTGATCAAGGTAAGAAGATCACGAATTGAACATTTTTCGAATCTAATCAACCAGCCTACTAACCACCTGACCCTTCAGGCCAATCAGGATGGAGCAGATCTTTTCCCTGACAGCTCCGCCCTACAGCTCGCTCCTTATGGAAACTACTATCAAAGTCTGGGGGCTGACGAGTCGCTGAGAAGAACATATGAACTACTTGCCTGTTTTAAGAAAGACATGCACAAGGTGAGGAAGAGCGTGTAATGATCAGCATTATGATGTCATGATGATGTAATGAAGAGGATGTTTGCGTTTCCAGGTGGAGACCTACCTGACTGTGGCTAAATGTCGACTCTCTCCAGAAGCCAACTGCACTTTGTAGCCCGCCTCTCGACTGTGCGCACACACCCTCATGTGAAGGATGTAATCCTGTGTTTTTGAAGCTCATCCTCCCCATCATTATATCTCTCTGCTAACTAGCGTTAGGATTAGTATCAGGATCAGTTATCCTAATCAGTATCATTAGGATCAGTGTTAGTTCAGTGTTTGTTCATGCAGCTTGAGTGTCTCTGTGCTAATGATGATGTTTTCTGATGTTATTATGTTGACGGTGTCATAACGCCATTATGTGAAATAAAGTGTGTTGTGTTGCATTCAGATGTGTATCGATGACTCACTCTGCTAAAGTTCACGGTCTCTTAGGGGCTTAACGATGTAGCCAAACACAAACTGTTTATTACGATATATCCGGGTCTGGTTGCTTCAATTTTTTAAATTACATAGAAAACAAAGCGCAGCGTAGCGATTATCCAACCAGCGGGGATTGGATTAATGTTTCAGCTACCATACCTTTTAGGTAGTTCTCGCTAGCTCAACGATTAGCGCTTTTGTGGACCTGGCTAAATGTTAACCTTGTAAATATTTGAGTTGTTTTATTTTAGTGTAGGGGTTAATATGCAAATTATGCTAAATGAATTGTTGAAGCCATTACAATGGTATGTGTTTTAGGTATACCATTTCCTATCCAAGTGAGTAAATTATAATCATGCTACCGCCTATCAAATTATCCTGATCATAATGAAATACTGTTTTCATGTTATTGCTAAAATGGCCGTGATGATGATGATGCAATGATACAATGATGATGTCAGGGGCGTTAAAGGGGTTAGGGAAGCAAACTATTTTTAAACCACATTTTGAAATAAAGCAAGTTTTTGGTGATCGTCTGATAGACGTTTCGGTTGCTGTAATGAAATAAAAGGAGGTATTGAAGTGACGAGAAAATACACGTTGATTCTGTTGTTGACTGACCGCTTCTACATGAATTGCCCTTGAGACATTTTTTAGGTCAAGTTTTTGTCAGACCCTGTACCTGGTATTCTTGTGAGCTGCCTTATGGACCAAAAAGTGTGGTAGGAAAGAAAACTCACTGTGTGTTTTCAAATAGGACTGGAACTGGACAGTATTTGTTTTTCCTCACCCTCTCTGATTTTGAATGGAATTTTGTGAACGTTGTGGCAAATTTATGCAATGTTTAATAGAAATATACCGCAGCATACATTTAACTGATTCACTGGGAGGGTTGGGGGGTTGGGCACATTGGGCTCCATAGACAAACTCAAGGTCTGGTATTTGCATAAACTAAACTCAAATAAAGAAGAAAACTACATCCTACACAGGTCTTAAAAGTGTGCTGAGCTTTAACAGGGCCCGTTAAAGCTTGACAGTGTGCTAGGCTTCAACAGTGCCCATTAATTTATCCTTTATTTTTTATTATTCCAGATGAAGCGTTTGACTTGGGGCCTTTCGCTTCCATAATTAGATACAAATAAAGAGACAGCTACAGTCATAGATGTATAGGTAAGAAAAGAGCACATCTTTCCTTTGGTGATGTATCAGGGACCCCTAGAGGTGAACTAACGACATTCCATCAGCAGGAGGCGCATCCGCAGCTTCGGCTCTTCCCGTTGGTCAGTCGTTGATCTCCGTCCCAACCGTCTACCCCCCTCGGCATTTCTCGGCTTAGTTCGGCTTTTAACGGTTGGTGAGTTCAAATCTTCGGCTGCAGCTCCTCCTGGAGACCGAAGTAAAGAAAGAGCCGAGAGAAAAGAGGGAAAACGGACGACAATATCAGAGAGACAGAGTCCTGAAGCGGAATGACGGTGCTGCAGGAACCCGTCCAGGTAAAAACACACCTTCATCTCGTTGTCACGAGCGGGGAGCCAAGTATTTACGATGTCCGTGTTTCGTTCTCCGCCCCGGCCTCAGCGGCAGGTCCAGTCCGCTGTGTGAGAGCGGGTCTGCCGAAGGCCTCCAGCGCTGTACCGATGGTATTGGTGTTAAATACCCGGGTCATCGCTGTGAGGGTCCGTCCATCGGAGGCCGTTTGGGTCAAGAACGCTAGGTCTTCTGTTGCAGTTGGCAGCTTAGTTTAGTTTAGGTCGATCCAGATCCCTTAAAAAAAAGGTCACGTTAAGGTTTCCGTTGGTGTGGGTGACAGAATAAAATGATTTGAATCATTATTGCGACCTTTGGTTAATCAGTTAGTTTTTGTCGTTGCTTCGGCAAAGACCTGATTCACATTATGTATGTGAGTTGGTGTTAAATAATACAACATTGGTGTTTGTGTCTGAGGTCACAATGCGCATACCGTTCTTTACGTTCATATTCTACTACAACTAAGCATGTCCGATTCAATGTGCGTGTCCCGAGATCATTCATACATAGATTATTATCTATGATTAAGCGTCTTTATAAAGCGTTATGCGATGTGCTGCGGAGCAAAACCAGCTGGATTTCAAACGGGGTTTTGTATGATTGGCGTTGCTAATACTGAAATGCTAACAGTGGAGTTGTGTTAGCCGGCTAACACCGCGGCTAACGTTTAGCTTAACAAATTCAGGAAAAATAAATCCACCCATAGTTCACCAGTGAACATTAACCGCTTTAGCGAGAATCTGTTCCGTTGTTAGTTTATGGTTGTCTACAGACCCGTTTCAGCAGCTCGCTGGTTAGCCTCTTGTCGCTAACGCTACCTAACATCAGCTAGCTGCTGGTTAATAGGAGCCATATTAGCTATCAGCTGGCTAGCCCCCAGTTGCTAACTAACATCAGCCAGCTGCTGGTTAGCCTCTGAATGCTAACGCTAACTAACATCGGCTATCTGCCATGCAGCCAGACTGTGACCTAATTACACATGATAGGTACTATGTATCGGTCAGTAAAAATATCACTGTTATATTATTGACACAACTGCTACAAAATGTGTAACGTTCAACACGGGTTAGATGAAGTAGAACTCTTGTTTGTTGTTCTTTTGAGTTTGTATCCATATGGTTGAAATGCACTTGTTGTAAGTTACTTTGGATAAACGCGTCAGCTTAATGACATGTAACCTGTTCTAACTGAAGTTCATTAAAAACTAACAACAGCATCTTATCTGACTGAACCTCAGATGTGTTTGCTGACGTGCTTGGTGATCATATGACACTCTTTCAATCTGAAGTAAACATTAACATCCACACACTTCGTATTAAGGTGCGTAATATTCGTGCCAAAGGGTTACATACAAAGTCTATGCACAGGCGCTATGAGACTGTGCACAGGCGCTATGAGACTGGCGTGACACAAATTTGCAATAGCACAGTGCCTCCGTTGTGCAAATCTTCGTCAAACGGCCCAAAGCACCAAACGCGACAGGTGAAATTTTGTGACCACAGCGACAAAATGGCATGACGCAAGGGTTAGGTGGTATGGCCCAAAAATTCACATCACGGTATTTTGTACAATTCTGGTAGTTTCACTGTATATCACAGTATTTTCCACATACATTCATTGATGCTGAAAAGGACCCCTGTCCACCAGCTGTTCATTGCTGGTTGTCCCACTCGCTCGCTACTGGCCAGCGAGTTATTTTGATAGTGTTTGCTGTTGTGGCTGCTAGTGTTGCCACCAGAGGCAATACCAGTAGCTCAACAAACTTTTCAATAAATCGTTTAATGATTTTTTAAAACCCTGCACCTTCCAAACAGCAGAAAACTCCTCTCTCTGGCACAAGTTGTGCTTCTGAATCTCTGGTCGCTGGTGGTTCCTCCTGCATCGCTCTTTTCCATGTTTTAATGTAGCAACAAAGCGTTTTCTCGTTGTGATAGCAGTGGAGCTATACACAAATTGCAGTTCGGTGGTGTGATTTTTATGAACGTTGAATTATTACTGTTATTAATTGTTTGTCAAAAAGTGTTGTGCCTTGGTGTTTTACCCTGTCAGGGAGCGTTAGTTGATGGTCATTAATCTGTGTTAGCAAGTTAAAACTCAACCTCAATGCACCCAATCTCAATACACGTCAGTGAGCGGTAAGCAATACACTTTTCTGCCTACTGAGGAGCGACAACAGGCGTATGAGTTGGTTGAACCCTAACCCTATCAACGTTGAGATTCTCCCCCTGCCGTCACGGACCTCCTGCAGACAGTTCATCCATTTTCCTTTTCATCCTCCTCTTCATCCATTAACCCCTTCTTCCACCCTCCCCTTCGTCCATCCTCGCCTCTATCCATCCTTGTGTTAGTGTGTTTGTCTTATGGAGATATGAATACAATGAGTATTTAGTAATGACAACATATAGCCTTGTTAGTTTCCACAGTATTTCCCCTTCCATTCTATAGGGTTAGAAAAATGTCGGCCTCCCCTCCCAACCCACCACCACCACCACCAACAACCATCTGTTTGAGAATACCAAATAAAACAGGAACCACTCAAACACCGGGACTCCCATCTACCTGAAAAGCTGTAAAACAATGAGAAACACTGTTCCATGTCCCATTCAAGGCTCTACTTTAAGGTACCTGTTCTCTGACTGATGCATTCTGGAAAACCTGCCTTTCTCTGTCTCAGGCTGCAGTGTGGCAGGCTCTCAACCACTACGCCTACCTGGATGCTGTGTTTCTCGCTGAGAGGCTCTACGCTGAAGGTAACCTGTGTGTCTGATCACCTGTCTGTCTCTTAGTGAGGTCAGAGGAGGCCACGTACAGCTTTACCTAACTATCTGTCTACCTGTCTGTCTCTCAGTGAGGTCAGAGGAGGCCCTGTACCTGCTTGCTACATGTTACTACCGCTCTGGAAAGCCATATAAAGCGTACCGGCTGCTGAAGGCTCACAGCTGCTGCACACCGCAGGTTCGATTCCTTTTGGCAAAGTGCTGCGTGGAACTCAGCAAGTAAGCACCAGAACTAGTTGAAACCAGTCACTAACCATTTCTTACCAGTATAACTTGTAGAAACGCATGTGTTTATATTCAATGGAGCTCTTAATTCTGACCCATTTGAAAAATTTGAAATGTTTTGAAATAAAGTGAAACACATTTGAAATAAAGCATGAATCTGCCTCACTGCTTGTCTTTCTCTGTACCTACCTGTCTCTCTCAGGCTTGCTGAAGGAGAACAGGTTCTGATTGGTGGAGTGCTGAACAAACAGAAAAGTCAAGATGACATCATCACAGAATTTGGAGACTCCGCCCCCTTCACACTGTCGTTACTGGGACATATTTACTGGTAAATGGATCCAGTCTGATACATATGAACATATATTCGAAAGGGCTAATGTTGGTTACCCGTCTGGCTGAGGTGAGGTGAGCTTTCACAGCAACCACTAAAATGAATGTGAGTAGTGACACAATGAAGGAGCGCTGCAAATCGCTCTTCATCTATGTTGTCACCATAGAAATGATAAACATTCATCATTTTCTTCAATTCCTTATCTACACCTATTCAATGTCAGCTTTCGAATGTTAGACACACTGCTTACGGTCCCGTCTCTCTCTCTCTCTCTCGCTGTCTGTCTGTCTGTCTCTGTGAGCCAGTAAGACAGACCGTGTTGCTAAAGGTGCAGAGTGTTTCCAGAGAAGTTTAGCTCTAAATCCCTTCCTCTGGTCGCCTTTCCAGAACCTCTGTCACCTAGGTAACGCGCACAAACACAGAAACACACACACACACGCGTGCCGTTACACTAATTGACTTCATCGTGTGGTTTAATTGTTGTGTTCCAGGAGAGAAACCAGATCCAGATCAAGTCTTTAGGTTGTCCTCTCTACACAACTCTTCTATAGCACCTCTCCCTCCATCTGTTAGCCCTGCTCAGAACCCCTCCCACCGCCTAGACACCGCCCTCATGGAGACACCCCAGGACACATTGGTATATAAAACACATCTCCACTACTCTCAGAGCACAGGTAGTCCTGTAATGTCTGTGGTCTGGTAATCAAATGAAATGATTAGATTACTGAGGTGAGTGTAGTTAAATGATCCGTTTATTGAGGTGGATATTGTCTGATCATAATATTAAGTAATCCGATAATCAGTGCTGAAACATGTTGTATTTTCTCCCCAGGAGTTGAATCGTTTGAATCTAGAATCATCTAATGGAAAGCTGATGTCTGATTTATCGGTTTCCTACATTGACTCCTCCCTAATCTCACCGGAGACCGGCTCACTAATTGGCAACTCGGTTTCCATGGCGTCAGCTGGTTCCCTATTGGCTAAACAGAACAAGCCCAAGAGTGGGCGGAGTTTACTTGGGGGACCTGCAGCACTGAGCCCACTGACGCCCAGGTGAGCTATTTCACAACCCCTGTAATGGTTTGCAACTGGTACTGCTGGTAGGGCTGCACGGTATGGCCAAAAATACGTATCATGGTATTAAGAAAGATTCTGACGGTATCCAGGTATGTGACGGTATCGCTTGTTCATTGACCCCGAAAATGTCCGCCAAACAGCTGTTTGCCGCTTGCTGGCCAACTTGCTCGCAACTGGCCGGCGTGTTAGCTTGTTGTGGCTGCTAGTGTTGCCACCAGAGGCTCGACAGACTTTGCAATAAATCATTTTCTGATCTTACTGACGGTGGATTTTCCGAAACCAAAAACCCTCCAAACAGACTCAGCTCGTCTCTTGGGCACAAGTTGTGTTGGTGCATCTCTGGTCTCTCGTTGTTCATCCTGTATCACTCTTTTCATGTAGCAACAGAGTTACTTCTTGTAGTGAGCTGTACCCAGCATGCAGTTCGGCGGGCTACATTTTTAGAAATGTACAATTATTAGTGTTACAAATTGTTTATGTGCTACTTTTTATTAGGTAACATTGCAGGAAGTTTGCTCAACAATAACGTGTGTGTGGGTCTTAAAGAGCCCTTTGGATGTGCAAGCACACGGTGTCTTGCCATCGGCAGAGAAGTATGATGTGAAGGTGGTGAAGTCCGGTCCCTGATCCGAACCAACAAGCTATCAAACAGGCTAACGGCTGGCCTCATGTAGCACTGGAAGCGACAGTCACCCACGCGCGCTTCCTGTAGAAAATGTCTGCGGCTGCAGATGCTATTTAGTAAAAAAAACCACGATGCCGTGTGATGATCTGACGCGAGTAGGACTTTCACTACATGATTGATGCGGCGGAACATTCAACTGTTTTCAGGGTGATAAGGCACACCCCTTCTGCGTCTCGTCTTGTGCGATTGACGCGATTCATGCAAATTGACCAGAAATGATCACCCGACAGTGCGTGCCGCAATTAGAGCGCTTGAGGCGACGCAACCCTTTTAGTATCAACGCTGTATAAGGCTCGCCCCCAAGTGCTTGTGAGCAACACGTTGAAAGTAATTAAAGAAACTGCATTGATGCACAATAACATAATTGTTGGCATTAATTTATTAACATGTTAACCCGATAATGACACCCACTGCGGGTTTATACATCAAATTTAACATTGACTGTTTGCTTTCTGTAGTTTTGGTATCCTGCCCCTGGAGCCCAGCCCGGGAGACCCAACGTATCTACAGAACTATTCAGCCACCATGGAAACACAATCTACTGCTCCCAGCAAGAAGGTACACTTAATAAAGCAATAAGGTATGAGAGGCTGTACTTTATCATCCAATAATGTAACAGTTTGAGGGTTGCCTAACAATACCCCTAAATTGTTACATTATTGGACGAAGTATTGCCTCAAGTACCTTATTGGTTAAGTAATTACCCACACGCTACACACACTTTAGAAACCTGTTGCACATGTGTTACTAACACACACACAGGCCGCTCTACCTAAGACATTCTGAACCTTCC